TGGGCCACCGAGGCCATGTACAGTGGGGACCTCCAAAGAGAGGAAGACAGAGCAGCTGCGAGGCAGTTCTCTCCACCTACGTAATACTGCAGAACATTTATCTAGTTCTCTGCAAGCTAGCTATTCTTCTTCCCCAAAACCAGCCCCAAAACTGCCTGGAGACAAGTCCTTACTCTCTCTGCCAGACTGTGCGAGGACAGGTGAGCAGCTTGAGGCAACAACCAGAAGGTGTGTCAGCACAGAGAAAGACTTGCCAGCAAGGAGCAGGGAAAGGCCAAACCCACCCTCAGCCCTCCCTGACATCCCCCTAGCCTGGCGGTGGGGCTGGGCTTCAATCTTGCACTCACAGGACCCAATGAAGGAGAAGTTGGTGGATGGAGGCCACTGCTACCCCCTCTCCAATTAGTCCGTTTTCCTGCGGTGGTGTTTTCCGGCTCCTCAGCTCTCCCCCATGCCGTGCATGGCCCAGAGCAGACAGGCTGTAACATGTGGAGCTTAAATTATTTGACAGTTCCCCCTTTTCGGATTAGGGAACGCCATGGAAATGGCTGCTCATGGCACCGTGGGACAAGCCCTGAGAAACAGGGCTGTGCTGGGAGTCCTGGGGACAGACATGGTTGTGAGTCCCACGGCAGCCAACTCTTCCTGGGAGGTCACCATCCCTTCTCCCACCTCACCTTGCCTCCAGGTCCACAGGCTGCCATTCCTCCTTCTTTCCCTCGCTTTTCCAGGCTGTCCAAGGTGAAAGGCCCTCAGCCTTTTTCATGCTATTTCTCCATCATTTGCTCCCCTCAGCAGTCCACACAACATGCATGAGGACCCCATTGCTCCAGGCTTATCAAATCATGTCTTTGGGAAAGGAGATTTGGCCCTAACCAGGCCGCAATTATTATCATCGTTGTTGCTAGAGCTTGATTGTGTGAGGAAAGCCAGGGAGGGAGGACTGGGAGTGCCCAGAAATGATGATTGCTCTTGGTGTCTCTCTACCCCATCTTTTACCTCTCAGGGAAATACTTATTCAAGTGGTTCATGGCTCCAGTTGAGCCACGGCACCTTCTGCTGGATTTTCCAGTCAGAACTTACTCAGTTTGTCCGCTGTGTCCTACCCTAAGCACAGAGGTCCTCAGAGAGAATGCAGCTCTCACAGCCTTCAGTGAGGAACAGAGAGGCCCTGGACCACCTTGATGGACATGTCATAGGCTCCACGATCATTTCTGAAGACCAGCAATCTCCAGGAAAAGGATATGAAAGGACAAAAAAAGAAAAAAAAAAATCAACGCAGCACTAAAGTTTAGCAGGAGACATGGGATTTTATTGGTCCTTCCACTCTCCCAGGTTTCATTTCTTAAATCTGATGTGAGGGAGGCTTTTTTGGAAGATTTTTTTTTTTGTTTAAGTAGAGAACTGAATCCAGGGGAAGAAGTATTATAGATTGCATCAAAAAAAAGCCTGATGTAAGAGGCCAAATAAAAGACCAGGGCATAGATGAATAAGGATTAAACTTGCTGGAATCAACCCACACAAATGTCTCACAGAGGTAATGAAGGCAAAAAAAAAGTGTTTAAAGTATTGTCAGAAGGGTAAGTAAAATATATATTTCAGGAGATGGTATTTGTGAAAAACTTTCTGGCACTGCAGGCGCCTTGGGACAATCTTATTGGAAATATTCTCTAAAGTCGGGTCATGAAATTATTAGAAGAACAGTGCATAGATTGAAAAAGAGAAATATAGTTGATTCATGGGTGCTTTTGGATGAGGGAAAGAAAAAAAAAAAAACAGGCTCGGCCTTTGCTACAAAGCAAAAAGAAACTTAGCAGATTTCTCATCAAAGTGTAAAGAAGCCTCTGGGAAAGAAACAGATTGATGCTACCAAGTTGTTTAAGATAATAACTACCTCCAAAGCACAAAGCTGTGGTTGGAGGTTAAGCAAGAAAGTAGCCCATGAGCAATTTACACAGAATAGCTACAAAAGAGACCACATCGTTAGAGGTAGGAATGAAAGCATGTAATGACGGTTAGTTATTTTATTTTATTTCTTTAATTCAAGGAAAACAGAAGGCACAGCACTAGCTAAATTAGGAAGAATAAGATGAAGACATATGGATAGATGGGATTCAGCCCTAGGGAAAAACAAATCGGCCTTTAGTGTCCTGGGGTGAGGAAGAGCAAACCGTGATGGGCCATATGTCCTCCCCTGATCACAGGAGAGAAGAGGAAGGATTCGGGATGAGCGAGGTCCTGTGCCAAGCATGTCTTGGGCCATCCTTTCAAGCAGGGCCAGCTCAGATGCGCCATGCCATCCTGCTGGGGATGCACCCCAAACGGGAACACACCCCAAACAGGGATGCCCATCTTCTCTGGAGAGTAGCATCAGAGCAGGGGACGTTGTAGGGCTTTCCAAGGAGAATTTCACAGCCTACCAGGCAAAATAATGGTTTTGGTGTTTGAAATTTCATGTGTTGCTGGTCAAAGAAGGGAGGATGGTGTCAGCGCACCCTGAGCACAGGGCAGGGGGAGAGAGGAGGAAAAGCGAGCATCCCAGGGGCACTGCAACGTCCACGGCCACTGCAGAGACGAGAGCTGTGGTGATGACATCCATACATGGGTTTTCATCCTTCAGTCTCACTGCCAGCAAGAATCCTTAGAGTTTCTCAAAACCCTCAGGCCATCATGGGTTAAATAACACAGCCAAAATCTTATTTTTCTGTAGGACTTTTTCGCCAAAGGACCTTGGTTATTTTGAAGAGACATCAAGTAGGCAGGACCTGAATCACCACCAAGCTACGGTGGTGTAAAACCATGGAAAAGCGGAGCAGTGAATCAGGTGCCTGGTCCCAGTAGCCCTCACAAATTTCCTTTTAGGCTGTTGAGGAGTTCAAATAACTATTTGGGATACTTAGGAAATGAAGATAAAACGCATAAGTCACCACAAGAGCCTTAGAGAAAGGCACACAGCATCAGCAAATCCTTCTCATTTTTAATATTTCCATTTCTCCTTCTAAACTTTTTCTTTAAACCGAAAAATAATGAGAAAATGTGCTTCCTTGAGACAAGCCGGTACTATCAGCTAAGCAACCTCACATTCATCGTAGCACTCCAAGTACTCTGGAATGCTTTTCAGCCCGGAGGATAATAGTATTAGACGACCAGAAAGGCTGTCCTGTAAAAGACTGTTATTATGATTTCCAGTCTCAGAAGTTGGCTTAATCCAGCTGAGCACACACACGTTATTTAGAGAGGAGACTCAGCTCAGACACTGGTATCATCGTCATCTTTATTGCAGATGAAGAATTCAGCTGGTGAAAGGCAAGTCACGTTTGTTGGGGTGGGTTTTTTTTGTCCTAAGCCCTGCAAACACTGGCTATTGCACTCGTCTTTGCGCACTGCAGCGAGCGTCTGGAGCCACTGAATGCTGGGCTGTTTGCTCGGATTTGCATCTGTCTTTAAAAAATAAAAAAATAAAAAAATCCTGTTCTCTCTCTTGTCACCTAATCAATCAAACGGCAAAAGATGTGCTCCCCACACCCTCCAAGGAAAACAGATATCCGCCCACACAAAAGGCAAAGCATGAACATAGGGGTTAACTAGAGGTGGTAAGCTGCAAATCGTCTAACGGGAACATTCTTTTTTTTTTTCTCTTCTGCCTGCTTGAAATTTCATGCTGCTCTTCCTCTGCCTGTGGAACAAAAGAAGAGGCAGCGATGCTCTGAGTTGGGGGGGAAAAAAGAATAAAACTCGGGATTGTTCGCTGCATGAGAAAAAGATGTGTGGAGGATTACTTGGGGGATTTGCACCTTGACTTGAGAAAGAAACGCAGCACAGCTTCTCTCCCAGGGTTTGGGCAGAATGGCTCCCCCCCGAAAGACCAGTTCCCCCACCCACATCTCCCCATACGAGCAGGACCCATCTCACACCCCAACCTGCCGAGGACCAGCAACCGGGCGCCCATCCCTGCAGATCGGCTCGTGGTTGGCACCATTGCTCGGGGTCACGGGAGTCTTGCCCAAGCCCAAACCTGCCAGGGCCACCGCCGCCCCATCAGTCGGGTGGGGGAGAGCCCTCTGACCCCATCCTGCATCTTCCCAGGGGTGATACTGCACTTCACCACATGTTGCCCTTGTGGCAGCTGGAGTGAAGGTACCTCTGCAAATATCCAGCGTAGACGTTATCAATTACACCTACTCATTCTCACACCGACAGTGCCTTTGCTAACGCTCCTCCTCGACACCGCGTCCTCGGCTGCCCTTTTGCTAGCCAAAATTGCACAGCCTCCCTCCATCCTTCCGTTGGCATCCCGGGGAAGGAGCAATCGGGCGCTCAGATGGGTACGAGGATGAGGGGAAAGCTGCTACCCTCTCCTCAGCCGCGGGGAAGCAGCTCAAACGAGCCGAACCTCAGCGAGCAGCAGCTCTTCCCGGGTGAGCGCTCCCTCCCTGGCACGTTTTCCCACGGGAGATGAGCACAGGGGCCTTAAAATAAATCTGTCTTTTTCGAGCCGCGATGCTAAACGGAGGGTTGAGATCAAAGGCTGGGATTCTCACATTTTGCCAAGATAGACATATCCATTCACGAGATTTTTGGTGTAACAAAATACTTGCTAATGAAGAGGATCATAATCTTATTATTAGCCCCAACCTACAACAGTATGTCATTCGAGAGCAGGCTGGAATATGCCCTAGTTTAGGAAGTTGCACAGTAGGCTTCGCTTCTGATTTAATGAGCTGTGATTGTGTTTATTTTCAGCGGCAACTATGCCTGCTCAATTTTTGTTTAAGGCTTGATTGTTACCGACAGCGATCGACAGGAAGGATGAATTTGGGTTGAAGCGAAGGAAAATGGGGATAGCGTCTCTGGGATTCGGTCCCCAAGCGCGCGGATGCAAGACGGTCGGTGGGGCCTGAGTTTTCTCCGCTTTCGTGTTGCTTGATGATGGTTTTTAAGCTACTGGACCCACGAGGGAGGGGACTTAGACGTGAGAAATAGCAAAGATTTTCGCAGTTATGGAGCAGAGCACAGACGAGAGGCAAGTATAGGAAATCAACTGCAGGGGCCTGCCTCTTTGGGGCACGCAGAGCTGGGATGAGCTGTAGTGGGAGAGTGTTATCATCTGGTCTCTGGTGTCGAGATCCCTCTGCTGTCGAGATCCCAGAAGGTTTAAGATGGTGGGACACGTCAGTAGGGTGCTACAACTGAGCAAGACCCACCAGACAAGCAAAATGGAGAAAAGAGGGGAAGAGAAATATAAACGGAGGCACGTACTGTAAATGAAAAATTGCTATGGCAGAGGTGGTTAGCTTAGGCACTGCCCCGGCATGAGATGGGGTCCCATAGGGCAGGGTCTCCCCAGTTTAACAGCTCCACCCTCCAGTGCCATTGCCTGTCCAGGTAACTGGAGCTGGGCCACTGGGCAAGCAGGGCAAGGCACAACCCAGACGTCCCTCCTTCACGCTGTTTTTGCAGTTGGTGGGGTTTTTTTCTCTGCTTCCAGCCTTCACAGAATTCACAGAATTGTTAGGGTTGGAAGGGACCTCTGGAGATCATCTAGTCCAACCCTCCTGCCAGAGCAGGGTCACCTACAGCACGTTACACAGGACAGCGTCCAGGCGGGTTATGGGGTCCCATAGGGCAGGGTCTCCCCAGTTTAACAGCTCCACCCTCCAGTGCCATTGCCTGTCCAGGTAACTGGAGCTGGGCCACTGGGCAAGCAGGGCAAGGCACAACCCAGACGTCCCTCCTTCACGCTGTTTTTGCAGTTGGTGGGGTTTTTTTCTCTGCTTCCAGCCTTACGAAGGATACTCTGCTCTCTGTTTGACTATGTCAGCCCCAAAGGGGTCCCACACTGTTTATTTTCTGGCATCTAAGAGCGCACACACAGACACGCATGTAGAGGCAGGATGTCCACACGGTGCATGAAGGAAACACTGACATGGATAGACACACGGACAGACACACATAGCCAGCTGTAGCCCTTGAAAGCTTCCCATGCACAATGTTAGAATGAGCAGAGAGGTGCAGATGAACATCCCCTGCCAACCCAAATGGCCTATGGATCCCACTAGCCCATATCCTGGGCTGCATCTAAAGAAGCGTGGCCAGCAGGTTGAGGGAGGTGATTCCACCCCTCTACTCTGCTCTCATGAGACCCCACCTGGAGTACTGCATCCAGCTCTGGAGCCCCCAACATAAGAAGGATGTGGACCTGTTCAAGCGGGTCCAGAGGAGGGTCATGAAGATGATCAGAGGGCTGGAGCACCTCTCCTATGAGGAAAGGCTGAGAGAGTTGGGGGTTCTCAGCCTGGAGAAGAGAAGGCTCTGGGGAGACCTTATAGCAGCTTTCTGGTGTCTGAAGGGCGCCTACAAGAAAGCTGGAACGGGAATTTTCACAAGGTAGTGATAGGATGAACGGTAATGGTTTCAAACTAGAAGAGGATAGATTTAGAACAGATATTAGGAAGAAATTTTTCACTGTGAAGGTGGTGAGACACTGGAACAAGTTGCCCAGAGAAGCTGTGGATGCCCCATCCCTGGAAGCGTTCAAGGCCAGGTTGGATGGGCTTTGGGCAACTTGGTCTAGTTGAAGATGTCAACCCCCACCATGGCAGGGGGGTTGGAGCTAGATGATCTTTAAGGTCCCTTCTGACCTAAACCGTTCTGTGATTCTATGATTCTATAATTCAGATGCTCAAAAAAACCCAACTGAGCATCGTGAGTGACAGCAAACAAGAAATCCCGGGGATACGTCCACTTAAGAGGTCAAGCCACACGGTATCCGTGACCTTTTTAAATGAAAAGATTAAATTACATCCCACCACCACCTCCACCACCCCCACTGCACTTTGCCCCCACTGAGCCCGTGCCAGGCCTGGGCTCGCTGCTGGGTTGCCCAGGCTCGCCGTGGGGCTCAGCTGGAGACAGGGATGTTTCCTTTTGTTTCGCACTGAGGCCTTTCGCGGAGGAGTCACCGAGCAGCAGAGCGGCAGCTCTAGCGCCTACGAATTCCTGTGGCAAGTGTAAAAAAAAAAAAACAAAAAAAACCAAAACCCCAAAAAACTTAAAATACTGT